TGGTTTCCAATCCTGGTCCCTGAGGAACACCACCCTGCATGTTTTAGATGTTTCTCTGCTTTGACACACCTGATTTGAATGATTTGTTGATTAACTTGAGGAAGTAATTGAATCAGGTGTGTTGAAGCAGGGAGACCGCTAAAACATGCAGGGTGGTGTTCCTCAGGGACCAGGGTTGGGAACCACTGGTTTAGGCAAACCTACAAGCTAAATGGAGAAAAATAAGCTACATTTTTTTATTAAAGTTTGCCCGACAACTTTATTTTCCCCACTAGCCTGTGGAAGAGTTGTCTTGTATGAAACTCATCTGTGCAAAAAAAAAAAAATGGGGGGCAGCTGCTGCACAGCACCTACTGCCAACTTTTCTATACTCCTCGCTTATACTTGAGTTTGATCTTAAATGAAACTCTTTCAGGAGTAAAAATCGCCCTCAGTGATTCTCAGAGATGGGTTCTGTAGAACTCGACTTCCAGAAGACGTAAAAATTAAACGCGCTGCAGTTTCAAAGAACCAGAACAATACAGGACCTGAAACAAACGTGTAGGCACCAGTTTGTACCCTAGGGTCAGATTGAGTCATTTCCTCTTTGGCAACTATCACAGCTGTAAACATCTGTAGCAACAAAAAGTCTTTCAGTTCTTGTTTTAGAGGATTTCATTCTTTTTGAGGAAAACCAGCTGAAGTTTTAACTGGTTATCTTGTAACAAGGTGATTTATGGAGATCGAGAGCTGATTGTGGATATTTATTGGTGTGCAGATGTAAAACAGCTGCTTTGATTAACTTCTGATGCAACTCCTCAGGTTGTGAGCAGCTTGACGTACCACAGGATGGCCATGCATGAAGATGTAGATACCTACACCCTGAGGAAAGCTCTCTGGAACTACATCCACTGCCTCTACGGGATTCGGTGAGTACGTCCTCAACACTCACCCGAGTTAAGCTTCCTCTGCCGTCCTAACTTTTTCTTTCCTGCCCGGCGCGTGCAGCTACGACGACTACGACTACGGCAGCGTGAACGTGCTGTTGGAGCGCTCCCTGAAGGTTTTCGTCAAAACCATGGCCTGTCATCCTGAGCAGACCACAGCTCGTGTTTACCACGCCTTCTGGAGGCACTTCAGACACTCTGAGAAGGTACGAACGAGTTCCGGCGTGCACCCGGCTTGACCTCCGCCGACATTAGGTCCCTGCGAAGAATGAATCGTTGGCATTTCCAAATGTCCTTTTTCTCCTTTTTATAAATGTCATCAGAGGAAGAAGCTTTAGCGTGAGGAGTTGAAACGGTTTCACCCAGTTACCTAAAGTTAGTGACGTGTGTTTGTCCTTTCACGTTCTTTTTCCAGGTTCACGCTAACCTTATCGTGATGGAAGCTCGGCTACAGGCCGCCCTGCTCTACACCCTACGAGCCATTACGTACTACATGAGATGACACGCTGTCGCACGCCTTTTAGCAGATGTTGAGCCAGCTGTGATGGACAGTTTTATCACCACACACTACAGTGAATCTTTACAAATGCACATTCTGTAATTCAGTGTTAATATTCTGATGCTGCTTGTGCAACTTGGATGTATTTAAAAGACTTGTTTTGCACCGTCTTATCGGGATTCATACCCCTGCTGGAGCCTTGAGTCTTGTTCGGATGATCTTGCACGTGTTCCTGGCATATCGACACGCTACATGTCCGTGACGCCGGGGCACTTCGCTCTGGCATTAAGAAATCATTGTATGTAAAGCGCTTTTGTTGTTCCTTTGACAAATCCCTTTCAAGGAATCACTGAGCCTCTGTCCCTTTTGTCTCCTGTACAAGGTTGATTTAAAAGGAATATCTTCTTTTTTATAAGCAATAAAGTTAATTTTGTTATTTAATAAAATATGCTTTCTTTTTTTATTTGCTTTTTAGGAGACGCTGACTTATTTAATAAAGTTTCTGCAAGGTCTTAAAAGTAATAAGTAACGTTTTTAGGCTTTTTAGGTTTGAAATATGTTTAATTTTTCTATTTTAGGTGCTAAAATACACGTAGTTGCATCCTTTGTTTGTTTGTTTGTTAGAAAGTTGTTTTCCCCTTGATGGAAGCACATTTGTAAGGAAAATGCATTTTGGGGTTCAGCAGCAGAGATATGTTTGTTGGTTGTACTCATGAAAAAAAAAAAACTTTCCAAGTCTCTTCCAAACAGATTATTCTGCTGGACGTTTGAAATGAGCCCTGGGTACTGACTATCAGGTGCCTGTGAGCAATTACTTTAGTCCCAAGTCTATCCTACAAGATGACTGCTCATCCCAACTGTGGGTTCGTTAGAGGCGGCCTCAAGAATTTGAGAGTGTAGAGCATATGTGTCCAACTCAAGGACCGGGGGCCAAATGTGACCCTTGTTGACATCTGGCACCCCAAGATGGTATGGGAGACATAAAACACTTCTACCATACCATACCACTTTATTGATAAAGCACTTAAAACAGCAACAAGGCTAACCAAAGTGCTGTACAGACAAAACAACAGGTAACACACAAAGCAAAATACAAAACGAGGTAAATCAGAATATAGACAAAAAACGATGCAGATAATGACAAACCAGTGTGGAGCATACAGGATCAAAACGCAGATCATCTTATGTTGAAAGCTATTGAATAGTAGTGAGTTTTTAAACGGGACTTGAAAACCGAGAGGGAGGGGGCCTGTCTGAGCAGCAGAGGTAACTCGTTCCAGAGTCTTGGTCCTGCTACAGAGAAGGTCCTGTCACCTCTGCGATTAAGACGAGTTCCTGGAACTGTGAGGAGCAACTGGTCCGCTGACCTCAGGGAACGTGGTGGGACATACGGTTGTAGCAGATCAGAGAGATGGGGGGGTCCCTAATGAAAACATTACTTGAATGTTTTCAGTAATCTTCTACAAACCGGATTCCAAAAAAGTTGGGACACTAAACAAATTGTGAATAACAACTGAATGCAATGATGTGGAGATGGCAAATGTCAATATTTTATTCATAATATAACATAGATGACAGATCAAAAGTTTAATCTGAGTAAATGTAACATTTTAAAGGAAAAACATGTTGATTCAAAATTTCACAGTGTCAACAAATCCCAAAAAAGTTGGGACAAGTAGCAATAAGTGGCTGGAAAAAGGAAATTGAGCATATAATGAACAGCTGGAAGACCAATTAACACTAACTAGGTCAACTGACAACATGATTGGGTATAAAAAGAGCTTCTCGGAGTGTCAGTGTCTCTCAGAAGCCAAGATGGTAAGAGGATCACCAATTCCACCATTGTTGCACAGAAAAATAGTGCAGCAATACCAGAATGGTGTTACCCAGCATAAAATAGCAAAGACTTTTAAGTTATCATCAACCGTGCATAACATCATCAAAAGATTCAGAGAATCTGGAACAATCGCTGTGCGTAAGGGTCAAGGCCGTAAAACTACTGGATGCTCGTGATCTCCGGACCCTTAAACGTCACTGCACCTCAAACAGGAATGCCACTGTCAAGGAAATAACAGAATGGGCTCAGGAATACTTCCAGAAAGCATTGTCAGTGAACACAATCCACCGTGCCATCCGCCGTTGCCAGCTGAAACTCTACAGTGCAAAGAGGAAGCCATTTCTAAGCAAGCTCCACAAGCTCAGACGTTTGCACTGGGTCAGGGGTCATTTAAAATAGAGTGTGGCAAAATGGAAGACTGTTCTGTGGTCAGATGAGTCACGATTTGAAGTTCTTTACAGAACACTGTGACGCCATGTCAACCGGACCAGAGAGGACAAGGATAGCCCAAGTTGTTATCAACACTCCGTTCAGAAGCCTGCATCACTGATGGTATGGGGTTGCATGAGCGCTTGTGGCATGGGCAGCTTGCATGTCTGGAAAGGCACCATCAATGCAGAGAACTATGTTCAAGTTCTAGAACAACATATGCTCCCATCTAGACGTCATCTCCTTCAGGGAAGACCCTGCATTTTTCAACACGATAATGCCAGACCACATTCTGCAGCAATCACAACATCATGGCTACGTAGGAGAAGGATCCGGGTACTGAAATGGCCAGACTGCAGTCCAGATCTTTCACCTATAGAGAACATTTGGTGCATCATAAAGAGGAAGGTGCGACAAAGAAGGCCCAAGACGATTGAACAGTTAGAGTCCTGTATTAGACATGAATGGGAGAGCATTCCTATTTCTAAACTTGAGAAACTGGTCTCCTCTGTCCCCAGACGTCTGTTGAGTGTTGTAAGAAGAAGGGGGGATGCCACACAGTGGTAAAAATGGACTTGTCCCAACTTTTTTGGGATTTGTTAACGCCATGAAATTTGGAAACAACAGATTTTCTCTTAAAATGATACATTCTCTCAGTTTAAACTTTTGATCTGTGATTTGTGTTCTATTCTGAATAAAATATTAGATGTTGGCACCTCCACATCATTGCATTCAGTTTTTATTCACAATTTGTTTAGTGTCCCAACTTTTTTGGAATCCGGTTTGTTTTATGATGTCGAAAGTTCAATAGAGAACATCAAATGAGACCAATCAAACACTTGCTGAGGAACCTGTGACCAAGACAAGATGTTGGGTATCTGATTTGAGTTTATGTAGATTCTGAAACTGGCCCTTAATTTGAAAAAGGTTTTAATTTTGGCCCCCTTTTGTAAGTGAGACTGACACCCTTGGTGTAGAGGATGGACTGGCCTGCCTCCAGTGTCTACTTCAACCACACTGAACACCTGTGGAACCTTCTTGGGTGTGTTGTTTGTTCCAGAGTGACCAAAACATCCATATTGGCTGACTTGCGATAAATGCTGATTGAGAATGTGATGCCCTCTTAACAGCAGTGTGTGAGCAGAATGAGCAAGAGGTGCCAGGCTGGTGTGGCTGTGTATGGTTCTTCCACGTGACACTGAGGTCCTTGTTTATTAAATTAATAAATATTTAAATTGCTAATATCTCTTTAGTTTATATCATCCAATCTAACTAACAACACCAAACAAAGACTCTGTCTCCATAACAGAATAAACTAACAGAGCAGATTTGACAAGTTTTTCACACCGCTATTCAACCCACAATTTCATTTTCCTAACAAATACCTTTTAAGAGGAAAACCACCTGGCTTTCCTTGGATAGATTTACTGCCAAGAAGCAGTTACAACAAAGAAATATTCACCCCAACACCTGTTTCATCGTTTTTTTTGTGCCAGTTTCTTTTTCTGTGACACTTTCTAAAGTGCACCTATTATGTGGAATTGTTTTATTTTTGTAAAAACTTAAAAAAAAAAAGTTTTACAGCGACTCATAATTTTTGTAATTCGTGTATGTCTTAAATTTGAGTCGTGCTGGTGTTTAAAAGTCAAAACTTGCAGAAACGCTGCTCGTTGAGAGCAGATATGTTGTGTGACCACTAGGTGGCAGCAGAGACCCTCAACTCTGAGCAGAGGAGCCACACCGAGACATTTATTGTCAAATATTTCAGAACTTCACATGATTACATGAGTTGGTGATGAAGTGGGTGGTCTTAAAGCCTTTATTCTTGTATGTGGGTAACCTTTTATTTATTATTTAGTTAGTTTTTTGGAGGAAGACGCGGATGTCACACATCTTAATCATTCTCCTTCCTGTCGTTCACACCGCTCCGTCCAAGTGTTGCAGCTTGCACATGCGCGAGAGCCTATGAGCTTATACTCAGAGCGGGTTCCTGTGTGAGACGAACTGAGTTTTAATGTTTAATTTTTTTTGTTTTTATGAAAGAAAAAACTCTTATTTTAGCTCTAAATTCGCAGTTAAATCTGTCACTCTTGTTGCTTCGCTTGCTGTGCAGACATTCGTCCGTTTCCACTGATCACAGATCTGCTGCGCGCGCTCCTTCCTCTGGGCTGGCCCTCTGTGTGCGCGCGTGAGGGCTCACTTTTATGCGGCGCGCGGCTCTTCTCTGTAGTCGCCGACGGCGGGGTTCACCGACTACAGCTTCAGGTATGACATTCTTCCTGTATTTTAATTTAAAACGACATTTTTTTCAAGTTCTCAGCGTGTTTTTGAAACGCATCCCCATAAAAATGTAAAAACGAAGGACAGAGTAGATTTTACTCTTTAATGTTGCCACTCCGGTGCTAATTTCTGTAAATAAAAAACGTATTTGAAGGTAGTAAAATACTTTGAAGTGTCTAAACTAAAGTAGTATCAATGCTACTCCATCCTTGCGGCTTTTTCATTATTTGAAAATAGTTTTTCAAAGTGGTGGCTTCTTTTTTTATGAAAGTTGGAGAGCCTGTTTAAATAAAAGGAAGTTTGACAGCAGCTGTCTGTGACAAGCTGATGATGAAGTGTGGTTTTTAGCTGTGTGGACTGATGAATACCACAGAGGATGTTGTGTATATTAATCAGCTGCAAAATAATCTCATGTGAAAACTAGAAAGTATACAGATTAAAAAATAAAAAAAAGTTTTCAGTCTTTCATTTTGGGAATAAACGCTTGGACATTTATGATTGAAATAATTCTCACATTGGTTTTGTTTTGATAAATATAATTGTGAATCGTTCAGCGTTATGTTTAACATCATTTTAATGTGTGTGGCTGTGATTTGTCTGGCCACACGTCCACAGGAAACCACCTTGAGGAAAAGCTTGGACTGCCTGTTTCCTTTACATCCATCAGAGGTGTTTCTCTTTAATCTGAGCACACGTCTCCGTGTTTTTGTGTAAAAGTTAGTTTCACAATCCTAAAAAGTTTAGAGCTGTGTAGAAATATAACGATGAGAATTAGAAGATGTGGGGGGAAAAAATCCACGATTGGTTCGTCCAAGGCCGGACTTCATCACTTCCTGTTTCTTTACGAGGTCACTTCCCGTCTCTGGCCTCGGGGCTCGGCAGGAAGGAAAGGGACGTTGGATGTGGTTTCTACTGGACATACCAGTTGAAGCTCATTCAGGATAAAGTACGACACCTGCACTTGTTCATGCCACAGATCTCCTGATGCTTTAAAAAAAAAAAGGGGTCAAACCGACCAACAATCTGGTTACGTCCTCACTTTCCCAGTTTCCTTCATCCATCTCCTTTCTGCTGGAGTGTGCGCACCTCTGAGTGTGTGAAGGTCCAGTGACGGCTTGCTTCCCATTGTCCTATCACTCCTGCCCCACTCACACTCTGCATCCTGTTGAGTTTCCTGCTCAGGAGGCCGAGTTAGACCGAGACGAGCTTTGAGGAAAAAGGTAAAAGGTGAACGAGAGAATCTTCACACTGGATTTGAATAAAATCACTATTTAAAAAAAAAAAAAAGGGATTCGAAGGATTTTTGTGTGTTTTGACAAAGAAACCACAGGAAGTTTTCCCACAGGGAGCAGCTTATCTGCAGTTTCCCTGCGCAGGAAAAGGGTGTGTCATGTGGATCTGGATGTTTGTGAGTGTGACGGCGGTGATGGAGGGTGATGTTATTGTGATGTTTTTATAGGAATGCACAGAGCGCTCGCTGGTGGTTTTCAGGTCAGAATGTGGTTGCTTCCTTTTATTGTTCAGAGCGAACACGCCGGCCTGCTGTGTGGCCGTGGAAACAGTCCCCCTGAACTTATTCAGTACATTTATTCTGCGGTCACACCTATTTTTACAGCAGCCATGTCAGCAGAGCGTAACGGTCCGGCTGCATCATTATTCGTTAGTGGAGCTTCTGCAAAATAGCGTTACATGGGGAACTTGATTTGGTGGATTGGTTGTTAAACAAGCAGGAACTTTCCTAAACGTAATCGACTGAAAACAGACTCTCTATGTATTTTTTCCACATAGCAGCACCATAAAGACCAGAGTTTTCCATTAAAACTTGATGTTATTTGCTAATGCAGTTACTTTCTGCAGCGATCAAGAGGAGAAAAGGCAACACAAGTGACAAACTGGTGGGGAAATCTCAGCAGGGGACATTAGTTAAATAAAATGAACTTCTTAAGTTCATGTTGCATCAATAAGAGAGGCCTTTAAAATACAAACAGCCGGCGAGGGGCTTTTTAACCAGGCTTTGAGGCCTTCTTTTGTGTATTTGTTGTAGATTTAATTTTGAACTGATATTGTTGGTGTTTGTGACTAGAATTCTGGTGAAATAGTTAATTGATGAGTCAAAGTTCACTTTCTCTTTTGGAAATAAAAATTTCTGGCATATACACATGCATAAATTCCACTTTATAAAGACTGAAATGTGGTGGCTTCTGTATCATGTTGTGAACATTTTCAGGTGTAAAAACAACCAAAAGCTTAAAAAGAGACGGGTTCATTAGATTGGACCTCATTCTGATAATAACTTTACTAAAGAAGGGCATAATAACAACGCGTCCGTCTTAACGACCACAACACTGTTTTCTAATTTCTTTTATGAGAACTGTTTTCATTTGTTTTGCAACCGTTATAGAAAGAATACAGTGCCTGTCATCAAAAAAAAAAAAAGTTGCCACCAAAAAAAGGTCACACACTAGTTCGTTGGACCGCCTTTAGCTTTGATTACATCATGCATTCACTGTGGCATTGTTTCAATAAGCTTCTACAATGTCACAAGATCTATTTCCATCCAGTGTTGCATTCATTTTTCACCAAGATCTTACATTGATGATGGCAGATTCTGACCACTGCACAAAGCCTTCTCCAACACATCCCAAATATTCTCAATGGGGTTAAGGTCTGGACTCTGGTGGCCAATCCATGTGTGAAAATGATGTCTCATGCTCCCAGAACCACTCGTTCACAATTTGAGCCTGATGAATCCTATTGTCATCTTGAATTATGCCCGTGCCATCAGGGAAGAAAAAATCCATTGATGGAATAACCTGGTCATTCAGTGTATTCAGGTAGTCAGCTGACCTCATTCTTTGAGCTGAACCTAGACCTGACCAACTGCAGTAACCCCAGATCACAGCACTGCCCACACAGACTTGTAGAGTAGGCACCAGGCATGATGGGTGCATCACTTCACCTGCCTCTCTTCTTACCCTGATGCGCCCATCACAAGGAACAGTTCTTAACCCAATTTTAGTAGTTTCTGCAATCTCCTTAGATGCATTCTCTGCTCGATGCCAATGATTTGACCCTTCTCAAACAGACTGACATCTTTTCCACGGCCACGCCATGTGTCTTTCGACGTGGTTGTTTAAGAAATGAGAAGCAACTCATTGCACCAGTTGGGGTTCAATAACTTGTTGCCAGGTGAAAGATAATCACCCATCCAGTAATTATACAATAGGAGGCTCGTACCTGTTTGGTTAGTTAAATCCAGGTGGCAACTCTTTTTTGGGTCAGGCAGTGTGTGTCATAAGTAAGAGAGACCTCAACTTAGTGTTTCATGACACAACTTTAGGACCATGAATATATGGTGTACAGATAAACCTGATAGGTTTTAGTCTCTCATTGATTCGTCTAAAACGAAATAATAATCCACGAGCAAAAAAACAAAACATGGCTGGTCAAATACTGTGTTGCCTTTTGAATGATGATAAAGACAGTGATAAAAAGATAAGTGATTTTTAAAAACGGGTGAGGTGACTGAAGCATGAAAGAAACTCAAGAAAAGTTTTCAAAGCTTCAACTACATAAAATTAGGAATATTGGATTTTTGGTCGATATATGCCAATATGTTAAAACTCATTTGGCTGATAACTGATACCAATACCAATATTTTTTCCTAGGCCAGAGACTACATAGTTTTCTCTGCTGTGGAATTAAAATACTACATTATTCTGCATGGTCTTTGTCAGTTTGGTCTGCTACTAAATGCAGATGTCAAAAAGGCAGCTGGAAATGATGCAACACTTCAACTTGGATTATGTTCATGACATTTACTCTCTAACACGATGACAACACTCGAACAGTGCAAATTTGTAAATTTTCATAAATCTGAACTCAACCTGTTCACAAGTGACAAGTGAAAAGCGCGTAAGTAGTAGTGCATTAATTCTTGATAGTTTCATAAATTAAAAAATAACTTAAAACAGAAGCCTTTTATATCGGTGAGTTATTTTGATGGAATGGCCGATGTCCGATATTTAATTTTATTGCTAATATCGTCCGATACCAATACCATGCCAACAATATTGTGCATTCCTACTTAAAATGATCAGATATTGCTTCATTTTTAGAGTTTTGGAAAACCTTTAACATTTTATTTACAACCCTCTTCATGCCTAGAAGAGTTTGTTAGCTTATTAGCTTACTACGTGTGCAGGTGACAAGATGCGATTGGCTGACGCAGCTTCAGTTGGAAGGAGACGAAGATGTATGATGCAGTGACAGTCGTCTTAGCGGTTAGCGGTTTAGCGCAAGCAAAGCTAACTTTTTAGTTAGCTTTGCCCATCACTGGTTACAGTATTACATTCACTTTCTGGCATTAAGTGCAGTATTTCTGCTTTGACTGTTTTCTGGTGAAACGGTCAAAGATAAACCCTAGTTGATGATCTGTGATACATTTCAATTAGACACTCCAAACGCACACAAAGAAACAGTCAGCCAGTTATCACTGGGCCAGAGGTGGTGCACCCTAGACAGGTCTCAAGAAGTCTGTTATGGATTAATGAAATTATGCTGCAACTTTTCTGTTCCAGTTTAGTCAAATTACTATCAAGAGGCCTAGCATTTCTTGAATGAATGCAGATCGCCCGCCACCTTTTATGCCAGAGTTTTGGACTGAGCTCGTATCATGGTGAGAATTGAGTTTTGCTCAAACCTGGAAAAGAACGTCACGCACAATCACACGCTATATTGTGAGATGTCACACTCACAGTATGTGCTGTGAATGACTCTCTGTTACTACCACTTTAACCTTTAGCTCAGTAGCCTTAAAACTGACTGAGATTACTCAGATTTGCTGTGGCAGCCATCTTGATTGACTTCAAAGCTTTAGGAGTTGTTGATTAGGTAATTAATAAAAATGTAAATTGGTTATTTTTAGGTTTTTTTTAATGATTGAGTGATTCATTTTATATTTTGCTAACAGACACACAAACTTT